TGTCACTTTCTCACCCTCCCTCCCTTGTCACTTTCTCCCCCTCCCTCCCTTGTCACTCACTCCCCCCCTCCTCTCCCCTACCTCAGTTGTAGCGTGGCCGAGCCCAGTATAGTCTGCGGGTACAGGGAACTTTTGTTTCCTGTACCCAGCCGGACTAACAGGAGGTGAACACTCAGTGTGCACTTCCTGTTAGTCCGGCCGGGTACAGTAGACAGATGCTCCCTGTACCCGCGGACTATACTGGGCTCGGCCACGCTACAGGAAGGGAGTGACAGGAGGGAGCGCTGAGCGTTTCCCTCCTGTCAGCCCCTCTCCTCATACTGTGCCCGGGCGGTGCAGTCCGCCCTCATGGATGCACCGCCCGGGCAAAGCTGCAGCCGCCTGAGGCTCTCTACAGAGCGCTCGGGCGGCTGCAGCATGGGGGGGCCGGCAGGGCTGGGGGGGATTACCCCATAACCTGTCCCCCCCGCATGATTTGCTGGGGGGGATGCTTCCACCCCATCCCCCCCGGTTCCTACGCCCATGCGCAAGAGTAGGACCCAGAGGAGCCGCAGGCTCCCTGCCTCCCTGGTCCGCAGGCACATTGCAGGGCTGGCACTTGGACAATGCCAGCCCTGCATTAGCCGGCAGGGGAGAATCTCGGGGGGGGCAATCCCCCTGGATCCGCCACTGCACTATGCACACACTCTGCATTCACTACACTGACACACACTCTGCATTAACTACACTGACACACACTCTGCATTAACTTTACACATAGCATCCACTACACAAACATCCTGCATTCACTGCACACACACTACATCCACCACACATTCAAACACTCTGCATTCACTATACACAGACACTGCATCTAATACACACACTACATCCACTACACAAACACACACTACATCACTGTACACACACTACATCCACTACTCAAACACACTCTGCATTCACTATACACACTGCATCTGCTACACAAACACACACTCTGCATTCACTGCACAAACAGTATCTAATACACACAAACACTACATCCATTACACACATTCTAATTCACTTCCACTATACACACACCACATTCAGTCCTGCATCATTGTGAGCGGACTAGGTAGGAGTCCTGTGGGCGGACTTGTGGGCGGGCCCGGGGGGAGGGGGGACCCAGACCTCATGCTTTGTGATGGCAGCCTTGGTGGGCAGTGTATTAGAGTAGAGGGTGGGGGGCAGTGTATTAGAATAAGGGAAGGGGCAGTGTATTAGAGTAGAGGGTGGGGGGCAGTGTATTAGAATAAGGGGAGGGGCAGTGTATTAGAGTAGAGGGTGGGGGGGCAGTGTATTAGAATAAGGGGAGGGGCAGTGTATTAGATTGGGTCTGCATGAAGACGCTGAATGTTCCCCATGGAGATGCTGACTGACTGCGCAGCTTTTTGCCACATATGCACAATAGCCTTCAAATGCTTTCCTATGGAAAAGTGTGATGATCTCAGCCAAAGTGAAGAACACACTCGTAGGACTTCAAAATCAATACGATAATGTAATTTTTTTTTTTTCACAGCTGTGCAAAAGCATACATTCACCAGTTCAGTCCTATTATCAAACTTTTCTTAATATGTCGAGGTAGTTGGACTGAAACATGCATACAAATTTGCTCTTTTGTTTAGTTTGAAGCCCTACGAGAGTGAGGTCGTCCAGTGTCAGTTAGGCAACTTTTTTATACTGTACTTTTCTAAATAAACCTACGTTTCTATGAAAACTGACGTTTTGGGGTGGGTTTGCAGCCCACATAAACTAAAACCTTGTTTATTTGGCCTGTGTTAGCCTTTGGGTTTGACATGCTTGATGTAATGTGTTGCAATATGGTTATTTGTAGACTGAATAAATCCTGTATGGTATACTCATTTTTGCCCTCTTTTATTACAGGCCTACCGCATCGTCGGTTCCGGCACACCACAACCAACTTTTTTATATTACTGTGTATCTCATATAGGGACCTTACATAACTACTTCTAATATGCTCTCATTATGCCTTTTATGCCCCGAACACATACATGCTTTACAAAATAATTACAGAAAAAGGAAAACACAATTTACTTGTTATAGTAGTTATTGCTTCAAAACTAGTTTGTAGAATTGAACACCTTGACATATTTTAAGAATAGTATAATTAAATAATACAATGATAGACTAATAACAACCATTGCTTAGTGATAATTGTAGCTGACTTCATCGTATTGATTAGGGACATACTCACCGAATCAACCAAAAATAACATGACCTTGTGTTGATGAATACCTTGAAGAACAAAGTCTATAAAGCGAAAATACTGGTGAATCATTCCATTTTGGTTCAGTTGACGGGGGCTCAGGGTGGAACACCTGTCAACAAGGGTTTAAAGCATTCATTACAAAAATATTGACAATTCTAAGAAAAGAATGACATTTCTTACACGTGAATTCACTAACAACATCATCTGTCATCATCTGCTCACTCAGAGGAGTATAAATAAGGCTCCTTCGTGTAGAACACTTGATAGTTTGGAGAATCTCTCTTCAATTTTGGTCAAGAAGAAGATCGCACTAATCAAAGCCATGTCTGGAATCAAGGGAAATCACAGCCACCACAAACATGAGCATAGTTCCATAGTTGAACGTAAGTCATTATATATTTATATATATCTCATTAAGGTATAATGATGAAAATAATAATTCTAATTATTTGGCACAAACTTGTATGTATCTTTTTTATAGTAAATATTACTTATCTAACTTTGTTAATTTTTGTTAATTGTTAATTTTATCTTACTTTGTCTTTGTATCTAGTACTTAAGCAAAGTATAGCAAATCCAGTCTTTGACAATCTGACATTTTATAAACTGTTCCAACGTTTTAATGACCATCCCGACTCTGAGTCCAAGACTAACCACTAGACAGCTTAGCTCATGTACTAAGCCGTGTCCCTACAGTTGTAATAGAAGAAACAGCTTCACCAGCCTAGACCAATTTTGGAAATGCATGTAAATAATTATTGGAAGAATAGCTAATACTTTTATGTAGCAAAAAAATAAATAAAATTACAATTAAACCTCTGACTGGTTGCCCGCTTTATAAAAAAAAGCTACAATTAAGACAAGCATCATAAAAATACTTTGCTTTTGTTTAATGGGATTATTAAAGTTCCACAGAAATGGTGATACTTTTTTCTTTTTATAATCTATTTTGACATTTATTATATTAAAATGTAAGAACTGGTTTATATAAATTATCACTGCATGTTTTAGTAATGCGTTAAAGTGAGCTAAATGTACACTCTGCCCCAAGAGGTTTACTTATTACACACTTTTTTTTTTTCTTTTTTTTTTATGATATCTTATTAGCAGAATATTTTAATTATTATGACTCTGATATGCGATACACCATTATGTATTCTCATCCTGTATTTAAGGCATTAAAGGGACTCTCTAGTGCCAGGAAAACATATTTGTTTTCCTGGCACTGCAGGACCCTGCAGTGCCACTCTACCTCCCACCCCCAATCCCATGTTGCTGAAGGGGTTTATACCCCTTCAGACACTTACCTCAATCCAGCACCGATGTCCCTCAGCGCTGGGTCAGGCTCTGCCCATGCTCCTCCCCGCCAACGTCAGCTGGCGGGGGAGACATAATGCGCGGCATTTACAAATATACAATTTGACACTTTAAGTAGCAAGTCAGAAAAACTGCAGAATTGCTGAAAATATTCCAGATCAGCCTCTCGCTTCTGATTACCTTAATTTTATAGCCATGTTTTATTTTATTATTCACTGTAAATAGCTGTGGAATATTTTGACAGTATATAAGTGTATATAATTATTATTTTGACCTATATGTTTCAATGCTGTTTTCAATTCACTGGAATTCACTGCTTAGTAAATAACCCACCAGCTTCTGTAAGCTCAAACAATAAAAATGACACCAGTGCGTTAACATTTCAAAAGTTCACGATTATTAATTAATGATAATAAAATGTATCAGGCGTACTTCCTGATGTGCATTAATATAAATCATGTTTCAGGTGTATATATTTATCGCAATTCACAATGTAAAACATGCTTCTCACTCATATTTTATTTTGCAGCTTCCCAGAACGTGGAACAGCCGAACCCTCATTGTGTGACTCCAGGTATACACATATGGTATATTTTTTATTGTAACTGTGTGAAGCTACAGGTGCAAGATGCAGGTGGTGCCCAATAATTTAATAATAGCAATCACTGTTTTCACATTTCAGTTTCTACACTGCCTCCTGCTGAAATACTTTTATTCTTATTTACTTTCTAACATTTTTATAACCAGTTTTAATTGACTTGAATATCTAATTTTAATAAGAATTAATTATATTTAAAATAATAACACTGTATGTACTATGACCATGCTCTATGTAGTTCTTTTGCCAGTTAGTGAAGGACAAATATATTGTGAGGTGCGATTTGTCATATGTTTGTGCCATAGTACAAATAATGGATATAATATAGATCACGCAATTTTAACAAAGACCGAGTTTGGGTAAGGCAGGTAAACCCATTTGTTCATGGCTGAATTTAATTAGTTTAATTGGTTGCAAAGTGTTTGTTTTTAGGATTTACAGACTACCATCATATTTTCAGACAACTGTTTGACATGTGAAGCACAAAGTTTTTAAGTGTATTTTTCATTAACAGCCTGTGTGAATCCTGTAATACCAGAGCCAGCCCAGAGCCAACCAGGCCCGTGTCAGCCGGTGGCGCATGAACGAGCCCCCTGTCAGCCAAGTCATCCAGCCACTACCCAGACAACCCCATGGCATGCCAAGTCAGAATATAAGAAATAAGGACTTTGCCAGAAAAGAAGCCTTCATGATATGAATGAACCTCTGTGTGAATATAGAGCACTAATTGAATCAATGAGCTTTGTAAACTAATATAAACTGGCAAAATGAACCTGATGATAATAAATTCAATTGATTAATCCATTTTCAACTGTTGTCTGTTTGTAATAATGCATTTATCTAAAATAAATATTAGCTGAAATTGATGAGCGTAAGGGAAAAGTAAATCTAAAGAAAGGAATGTATAAGGTAAACACAAATACAATTTCTATAACATAATAATATGCGTTACATAGCGTGGTCGGTTGTACGTGTTTTGCTAGTCAAGGGCCAGGGCCGGATTAACATAGGGGATGATGGAGCTGCAGCTCCAGGCCCAGGCCCAGGCCCATGGAATAGGCCCATTTAAAAAAAATAATAATTTTTTTTTAGCACACTACTCTTAGGTTTGCCACCTGACTGGTATTTTAAGGCACAGCCTGTATTTGAGGCTGCCTGGCCGTGATGGTATTGCAGTAATACCGGCAATACAAATGCAAACATTTTTCTCAGTATAAACGGAGATTACTCTGCAATACCAGCACCGGCCAGTAGGGGTCACTGTGTATGGAGAGAGACAGGGATAGGAAGTTACAGCATATCCCTCCCTTCCTCTCTCTACTCACTGATCCGCGGGGGAGCAGCTACACAGCACAGAGAGTTCAGACAGCAACTCCCACCCTGCAGAGACAGCCTACAGCTCAGGGAAGTGAGGGATGAGGGGAAAGGCAGCAGGGAGACATGGGGACACTGAGACACTAGGGGACACATGGTGACACAGACACTAGGCGACACTGGGAGACATGGGGACACTGAGACACATGTGGACGCTGTGAGACATAGGTAGACACATTGGGATACGGAGACACTAGGGAAACAGTGTCTCCATGTCTCCCAGTGTCCCCATGCCTCCCAGCCAGTGTCCCTAGTGTCCAGGGGTGGACTGAGTGGTCGGGCACTTCGGACATGGTCCAAGGGCCCGGCCGAGGAAAGGGGCCCACCGACCAGCTATTCTGTGTGTGCACTGTCACACACTTAATTAACAGCACTGTCCTCTGGCCCATCGCTGCTACCCAGGAGGGGGTCCATCAGTGCTTAACCGGGAGGGGGCCTATCGCTGTTTGCCTGGGAAGGGGCAGGGCCAATCGCTGCTTACCCGGGAGGTGCGCATCGCCACGTACTGACGTTGGCATGCGCCGCCCTCACGGTGCTTCTAACAGTGTGCGGCACAGAAGGATCAGAGCTGCCTTTCTGCTCGCTCCACTATCGATTGGATTTGGGCCACATCACTCTTTTTAATGAAGGTAGCATTTCCTTCAAATTGTTGCTTTTTTATTAAGAGGTTTTGGAGGGGAAGGGGGCTCTGTAATAGAGTATTTATGTGCATCTGTTTGTGTCTATTTAGATTTATGTGATTTGTGTGTGTCTGTGTGTGTGTATGTGTGTGAGTGTTTGTGTCTATGTAAGTCCATGTAGCAGCATGTGTGTCTGTAATCTGTGTGTGTCTGTTTGTATCTGTATGTGTATCAGTGTGTGTATGTGTGTGTCTGTCTGTATGTTTGAGTGTTTGTGTCTATGAAGCTGCATGTGTGTCTGTATCTGTGTGTGTCTGTGTATCTGTATGTGTGCCCATGTTTGTGTCTGTGTGTGTATCTGTGTGTTTGTATATATGTGCATACATCTCGGCATCTCTTCAACACTACTTTGGATTCTAACATCACCATTACATACAAACACACCACTGCATTCAAACGTCAACACTACATACAAACACACCTCTGTATTAAAACACCACCATTATATATAAATACACCACTGCATTCAAATGTCAACACTACATACAAACACACACACCTCTACATTCACTCACTCATACTCCATAGAAAAACATGCTTACATTCAAACACACTAACACTGCTCAGTGGTAAAAACATTTAAAAAAAATGTTGCGGGTGTTTTACATTTTAAAGTTGGGGGGGTTCCAAATATAGGATCCACCTCGTATGCAAAATGCTCTAGGTACACCCTTGGGGCCCATCACTGGACATCTCTTTTCAGAGGCCCAGTCAGGTGCCGACCGGGCCCTTGCGGTGTGTAATACTGTGGTGCTAGGAGGAAGTAATTTCCCCCCAGCATACCAAGTTACCACACAAAAGAGAGACAGGAGGGAGACAGACTAAGAGCCAGGACCAGAAGAGAGCCTGTAACATCACACGCAACCAGATGCCACTGGACCACAGGGAAGCCACCCTCCTTTATTAAAAACGTATGGGGAGTGGCTAAAAATATGTAATGTGATCTTTGTGCATTTTATCTGTGTGTCAATGTGTGTCTGTATGTGTGCCACTGTTTGTATGTATCTATATGTGTTTCAGTGTCTGTGTGTGTATCTGCATGTGTGTCTGCATGCATGTCAGTGTGTGTATATGTATGTTGTCAGTGTGTGTCTGTGTATCTACATGTTTGTACCTGTGTATCTGTATATGAGTCTGTATGTATGTGACAGTGTATATGTGTATACATGTATTTGTTTTTCTGTGTTTCTATGTGTGTCTGTATATTTGTATGGTGTTAGTGTACTTCTGTGTATCTGCATCAGTGTTAATTTTGGCAGCAAATTTCAATTTAGTTTTAGTCATTCAGCCATTTTAGTTTAGTCGTATTTTAGTCATCTGAATTGTTTTAGTTTTAGTCTAGTTTTAGTCGACTAAATCTCAAAAAATGTAGTCGACTAAAACTTGACTAAAATTTGGTCGACAAAACTAACTGATCTGCATGTGTGTCAGTGTGTGTATCTGTATGTTGTCAGTGTGCCTGTGTATCTGCATGTCTGTACCTGTGTATCTGTGTGTGTCTGTGTATACATCTCAGCATTCAAACTCTAACACTTCACACATACATCCCTACTTTCAAAGGCAAACATTATACACAAGCAAACCACTGCTTTCAAATGGCAACAGCACATAAAAACACACAACACTACACACAAATACATTCCTACATTCACACACAGATACTTTATACAAAAACTTACATTCAAACATAAAAACGCTGCTCTGTGCGAAGTACAATCCAGCAAGGATGGGCAAATGGTAGATACCCAGCTGGCAAAGCATTGTGTCAGTTGAACAACATCTTTCCAATCAGCAGTGCCTTCCAAAAATTATTTCAACAGTGCCCTTTCTAGTGTGGTTCCACCACTTAGTGCAAAGCATTCATATAACAACACAGGGGAATAATATATCAGAGGCAAACTTAGGGACACTATAGATATTAGAAAAACTACAGCTTAATGTAGTGGTTCTGGTGTCTATAGCCTGTCCCTGCAGGCTTTTTAATGTATGCGCCGCCTTTTCAGAAAGAAGGCAGTGTTTAAATTACCGCCTAGGATCACCTGTAGTGGCAGTCAATCAGATCTCCACTAGAGGTGCTTCCTGGGTTAGTGCTGCGCAGTGTGTAGCACTTATGTTCAGTGTCTCCACGCGCTGCATGGAGACGCTGAATGATCCCCATAGAGATGTGTTGATTCAATGTATCTCTATAAGGATATGCTGACTCACACAGCACAGCGTTTTGCCACGTATGTGCAATAGCCTCCCAATGCTTTCCCATTGGAAAGCATTGGATTGGCTGGGATAGTTAAATTTAATGATCTCATCCATGGAGGCAGAGGGGGACTGGGGACCTAAAATGTGCTCTTGCAACTATAGTGTCAGGAATACATGTTTGTAATCCTGACACTATAGTGTTCCTTTAACATCCTAGACCCCATACTCGATAGCATGGCAGCTTGAGCTCATTCTACAATGTATCAGTTATAGCACCAATAACAACATACCTTCTTGTAAGCCAATTATTTTGCTATGTAGCCTACAATTTACAATCCACTTGTGATTTCGCAGTGTCCCACTCAGGGCCCCTATCCACCATGACAGCCTCTATTCCACAAATTCATCCTCTATGTCCCACTACAGCCTTTCTTCTCCCACTGCATCTCCTACCACGTCACTACAGCTCCTTTTTCCCAATTAGAGCCATTGTCTCCCCACTACATTCCATATTTCTCCACTACAGCCCCTATCCCCCATGACATTCCCTAACCACCCAAGCCCCACACTACAATCTTTATCCCAAATTACAACCCCTATTCCCCACTACAGTGTCTATTCCGCCATTAGAGCCTCTGTCACACATTAGAGCCCTTATCTCCGCACTAAAGCCCCAGTCCCACACGCTAAAGCTCCTGTCCCCCACTGAAGCCCCTACTCCCCCCACATTACAACCCTTTCTGTAACACAAGAATGTATATGTAGGTGGTGTGTGTATGTCTGCATAATGTATATTGTGTAGCCTGCAAGATAGTGGGTACAAGTGGGCCCCATGATCTCATGATTGCCCAGGGACCCCATGAGTTGTCAGTCCACCCCTGCTAGTGTCTCAGTGTCCCCATGGCTCCCAGTGTCCCCATGCCTCCCAGCCAGTGTCCTGAGTGTCTCAGTGGCCCCATGGCTCCCAGTGTCTCCATGGTTCCCAGTGTCCCCAAATGTCTGTGTCCCCACGTCTCCCATTGTCCCCATATGTCTGTGTCCCCATGTCTCCCGGTGTTCCTATGTCTCCCAGCCAGTGTCTGTGTCCCCATGTCTCCCAGTGTCCCCATGTCTCCCAGCCAGTGTCCCTAGTGTCTGTGTCCCCATATCTCTGTGTCCCCATGTTTCCCAGTGTCTGCATCCCCATGTCTCTGTGTCCCTAGTGTCTGTGACCCCATTTCTCCCAGTGTCCCCAAATGTCTGTGTCCCCATGTCTCCCAGCGTCTCCATGTCTCAGTGTCCCCATGTCTGTATCCACAAGTGCCCCCATGTCTCCCAGTGTCCCCAAGTGTCTCAGTACCCCCATGTCTCCCAGTGTCCCCAAGTGTCTCAGTGTTCCCGTGTCTCAGTGTCCCTGTGTCTCTGTGTCCCCATGTCTCTCAGTGTCCCCTAGTATCCTAGTGACACGGGACACACTGAGACATGGGGACACTGGGAGAAATGGGCACACAGACACTGGGAGACTAGGGGACTGGGCAACATGGGGACACTGACACTGTAATGCATAGGGACACTGAT